GTCTTTATTTCATCCAACTCGCTTGCCCCTTTCCAACCATCTCCCCCAACTAAAAGGACACTGAAGAACGGTTCGGTGCATTTATCGCCATAGCTCTCACTGTTCCTTTGGGTTTCTCATTGACATAGCATTTGGGAAAACTCCGATTCGATTTCAGGTTCGCCTGTTCTGGTCTATACATTCTGTGGATCTTTTAGTTAAATACTGAGATAGCAACGTTCTACAGATAATCACTCAGTTGACTTCCACCTTCATTTTGTCGGACTCTTCTGTCTCTGGTCAACCACCACCTGTCCATTCCTACGATTTCTAAAAGGAGATTGAAGAACAGATCGATGCATCCATCACTAGAGATCTCACCATTCCTTTAGGTTTCACGATGGCTTAGCATTTGGGAGGTCTGTGCTCTGATTGGATTCCAGTTGGCTTGATTTGTTCCATACATTCTATGAATCTTTTTGGCAAATACTGAGAGAGCAACGTTCTACAGATAATCCCTCAGTTAACTTCCGTCTTCATTTTGTCCAACTCCTCTGTCTCCCATCAACCACCACCTATCCATTCCTGCGATTTCTAAAAGGAGAGTGAAGAACGTTTCGGTGCATTCATTACCATATCTCTCACTGTTCCTATGGGTTTCTCATTGACTTAGCATTGAGAAACACTCCGATTTGATTTCAGATTCGCCTGTTCTGGTCTATATATTCTATCTCCCACTATTCCTTTGGGTTTCTCATTGACTTAACATTTAGGAAGACTCCGATTTGATTTCTGGTTCGTTTATTGTGGTCTATACATTATATGGATCTTTTAGTCAAATACTGAGACAGCAACGTTCTACAGATAATCACTCAGTTGACTTCCACCTTTATTTTGTCTGACTCATCTGTCTCTGGTCAACCACCACCTATCCATTCCTACGATTTCTAAAAGGAGATTGAAGAACAGATCGGCGCATCCATCACTAGAGATCTCACCATTCCGTTAGATTTCACGATGGCTTAGTATTTGGGAGGTGTGGTTGGATTTTAGTTGACTTGCTCTAGTCCATACATTGTCTGCACTTTTTAGGCAAATACTTGAACCACCACCCTCAATCCTATGATTCCTAAAAGGAGACTGAACAACGATTCGACGCATTCATCACCAGAGGTCTCACCATTCGTTTGGGCTTCTCAATGGCTTAGTATTTGGGAAAAGATTCCCCTGCTCTGGTCCATACATTTTATGGATCATTTAAGCAAATACTAAAACAACAACATTCTACAGATAATCATTGAGTTGTCGGACTGATTTGTCTCTCTCTCTCTCTGGTGATAGCCATCCAATTTTACGATTCCTCAAAAGAGACTGAAGAAGACTTTCCGCCATTATCCTTTTTTATATTAAAGTTTAAGTGGGATAAACACCCTAATGTGTACAAATAATACCATTTCCTAGTGCAATTAGCCAAGCGATTTATTTTTATTATTGTCATAATTGTTAATAATACCGGTAAGATAGCAATTTCAAAAATAATCTTCTTTCTTTGTCTTTCGTTTCGCCGGTCTACTTACACATCGGAAAACAACCCGCGCATTAATTATTGTGGCACCCTTGATCAATAAATCGGTTTTAGATTAAAATGACGGAAACAGGAAATGAATAGGTAACTAATTGCCCAATTTCCGCGGCCTATGACCATGGTACTTGATTTTCATGCATAATTTATTCGAACACTTCGTAATCAACTAGATTAAGGGAGCTGTTTACCGTTTATATTTCTATACCGAACCGTAGTTCACATTTTCCGTTTTAAATTAAACATACTAATTGAAACCATTTATTACCGTAATTAATCAGTTATTCATTCAAATCATGCGGTTTGTGTTCATGTGATATCAACGGACATCAACTGTCATCAATTTTAAAGTAAGGTAAACGTTCAGGCACTATTAAGCCTTATGTCACATATGTAGGACGGCAGTTTCCTATTTCAAAAATTTCAAAAATCGTCAATGTAATCAATCATATGGATGTTAATATATGGCTGATTTTAGATACCTAGGAAGTCAGATAAGTGAGGATGGAAGGAGTAGTAGGGATATAAAGCAGAGGATAGCGCAGGGTCGTGTCGCCTTTAATAAAAAGAAGTCACTTCTATGCTCGCGAACGGTTAATTTAGAAATTCGAAAAAGGTTCTTAAAGGTGTATGTTTGGAGCACGGCGTTGTACGGGTGCGAAACATGGACAGTGGGGGCGGCGGAAAAGAAAAGGTTAGAAGCGTTTGAAATGTGGTGTTACAAGCGAATGATGAGGATAACGTGGGTAGAAAAGGTTAGAAATGAAAAGGAATTAGAAAGAATAGGAGAACAGAGGACTCTATCGAAGTCAATGAAAAATAGGCGAGATAGGGTGGTAGGACACCTTCTCAGGCACGAAGGTCTAGTCAGAGACATATTAGAGGCAGAAACAGGAGTTAGGAGGGGTAGAGGTAGACCTAGATTAGATTACTGTTCGCAAATAGTTAAGGATGTGGGTTGTTCTAGTTTTAGGGAAATGCGAAGTTTAGCTCAGGATAGGAAAGAGTGGAGGTACGTGTCCAAACAGTCTTAGGACTGATGACCTTATGATGATGATGATAAGCAATGATCTAGAATTGAATAAATTAAACAATAAAATATCAACTAGATTGAGCATCGCCCAAGAATTTTATGCGATATATGTTGAGTTGTATATTTTAGTATGATCGTTTTCAAATTACTCCTCAATGACCTATTTTGATATCAAATGATATAATACAATAGAGCTTCGCTTTGGTAATTTAACCAACAAAGATACAGAGGGTGATTATTGGGTTCCGCTTAGGATGTGGAACCCTGTGTTCAATGTCAGGTTACGTTTAAGAGTAACATAACTCAAATTTACGTATTTGTGTACAGTGTCATTCGTAATTACGAAACCATTGGGATTTTGAATTTACACTGACTATCGGAAAGAGAAGGACCTATAAAAAAAGTCGCCACTCGTGCTATGGAAACGTTGGAAGCAACTTCAATTGACGACGGTCTTAAGAGCCTTTTCACACGGGCTATTCTATTTTTTGTAGCGCTTCTGAAGCGCTACAGTTGTACGATTTTTAGGAATCCGCTATTTTAAATTGATGTTTTCACACGAGAGCAGCGCTTCAAACCCGTAGCGCTACAATCGCTAAACTGTAATCACATTCGGTTGAATCGTGCGGCTAAATAGTCGTGCAATTGTTGCGCTTCACTAAGAAATACATTTACTTAAGTTAACGCTTCCGCACTGGCGTATTTTTAGTAGTGCGACAGACCAATGATAAACAATGCTGATGTCAAAAATTTAGAATTGTTGCAGTGCAGATTATACAAGGAAGAGCATGATAAGAAGGAATTACTGAAAAACTTTTTTCATTCCGACGTAAATCTTGGAAAGATGTACTTATAGATATCCTTTTATCAATCGATTACTGTTGTAATAATCGACGCAATATTTGTGATCCTTTATATTCTTTTCTTTTATTTATCAGAAGCGCTAATAAAGTCTTCGTATTTCTTCTGCGACTTCATTTTAATAACTGTTTCTTTAAATTTGAAATAGGTACGTTTCTACATTGGCTACAATATGAAAACGCTGCAAAAAATCACTCTTTATATATACGAACTGGCAACTGTCGCGCTGCTGTAGCACAACGGAAGCGCTACGAAATGTAGCTCGTGTGAAAAGGCCCAAACTAGGACAGCAACGGTTCACCAATTGGCCGCGAATGCCTTTACCAATTTGTTGTTTGTTGCCGATGTTGCGTCATCTATCACACGAATCACGTTTTGTCAGGCCCAATTAGGTTTATCCATTGATGTGATATTTAAAATCTGAACAAAACTCTGCCTATTCATTTATTTGTATGAATGTAGTAAGGTCAACCCCTCGCGCAATTTGCGGCCCATGAAATTTCAAAATACCTCTAACACACAATATGATGCAGTGCAAACCCGGGCTTCTGATGTTCACAGTAAATGACACTCACGGAAATTCTTCGTTCAGTATAGGTATACTTCATTTAGTTTCTGTAGCGATGTGAGCTTCAGTTTGACCGGCGCAAAGTAGAAAAGAACAGCACTAGGCCAGAAAAGGAAGGAGACAACTCTCGGTCTAACTCTTAACCGGTGAGGAGCGTATAATCCGTACAGTACTGCACGGAAAAATTGACCATTTTATCCACTACAATTGCATTGCTCAAATGTGCTGTTATTGTTATCAGTTACTACTGAAAATATCAACGAGATGTTTGTTTATATTTGAAAACATAGTAAAGGTTTTAAAGCTTGTTTTTGACTCGCACTACTATTTATGATTGAACAAAACTTTTGGTAGGTACTGTATGAAAAAGTATGTTTAATGAACAAGAGTCGAGAGTATAATGAGCATTTTTCTCCCTACCTACGATTTTGCCAGCGTGCATCTAAGACATTGGAAGGGGGTGATCGCTAGAGAAAGTAAATGAAGTATACATATTGTAAAAAAAGTTGAGTTGAGTGACTTGTACTTTGCTGTAAAAGACTAAAACGGTACACATTTGATAATGTCGCTGCTTTCATTAAGTGAATTTGGAGACAGAGCTTTGAACTGACGCAATATAAGAACATTAAGATATTTACGAGGCGTAGCAATATTGCCAAGCAAAAAGAGAAGTAAACAAATGGAAGCGAAAAACTTTTTCGTTTATTAAAATTGGGAAGAGAAGATTGAATAATAAAAGCCATCAATAAGGACACTGAACCCAAATTAACTTATAACACTTCACAATTTTAATAAATGTTCAAAATTTCGTAGAAAACAATGCAGCCTCCTACATTTATTAAAAGTGGAATGTACTAAGGAATATCGAAAATTGCTTGGGTTGTTTCTTTTCAATAAACTAATAACAAGAAGTTTAAATCTCGATGAATTTCAAACGTTATTAAAATGTTATCGTTTACCATTTATCTCTTTTTCAGATACATGGTAGCAACTCTTCTGTTGGCGTTCAGCAGTTGTTCTATTACAACCAACTCTCCAGAACTTGCAGCACCGTTTTTTGATGGAGAAGGTTAGTACTCAAACACTATTTACCTTTTGCTTTTTCCAGCCATTAATTACTTACTATAACCACAAGTATCACAAGGTAGTAAATCTAAAGAGCAGTTAGACAACTACTCCACCTCCTGTCCTTCCTATTCTTTCTAATAAACAATTCAATCGCAGACAATAATCGTCACAACACTGATGAATAAAATTATGATTCGGGATTTTCGTTTCCAACCCAAATTATAATCCTACGATGCCATTGATTCCGGCAGTGAAAGCCTACCTTCTTCTACTGATGGGTAAATCAACACTTAATTCGAAATTTCAAGTTGCAAGTCGAAATTTTGAGATGAAAGTCGAAATTTCTAGATGCAGGTCGAAATTTCAAGTTACAAGTCGAAATTTCAAAAAAAAAAATTATGTTTGGCCCTTCTAGGCCTTCGTACAGAAATTTCGGCGAAATGTCGAGAAAAAAAATAGCCAACTAAAAAATTAATTATTCAAAATCGTGTTATTTTTTAACACTTTAGAAATGGGATATAACTACTTTAATCTAATATTGGATATTGATTATATAATTTAGAATAAGTAGTCAACAACTTAGCAATAGTTAATTAATAACCCAATAGTATAATAACAATCTTAGTCTAATTTATTAGATAATTAGGGAACGTAGAGAGTGGCAGGGAACTATCACAGGGTGAATGAAGACGGTAAGCCGCCTCACCACCTTGCACCTTCGTAATCTTAAATTCGATTTCCGACTCCTGACTCGACTTCTTAATTATACTTATTGATTCCGCGATTTAAATGGTTACTAATTGACCTACTTAGGTAAGTAGGTGTTAGCTTGCAGTTTTAATTAAATAATTTAGTTGTACCAACTAAATACGAATTTAGGGATACTATGTAACAATAGTCGTTTTGTGTATTTTAAGAAAATGCATCTTTCAAATCTTCATCTACTGATGCTACACTAACAAAAAAACAAGAAATTTTATCAAAACTTACCAAAATTTTGCAAAGGCTCCGACGACATTCTGTAACAAGAAAATTTTCATTGTAAGAAAAAATTAAGGTTTGAACGTAAATCAATCTTATAAATAATTATTGCAAATACAGTAGAATGCTTTGTTCCTCAAAAACCCCATTACTCGAAATCTCAACCCTCTATTAGTTGAAATAATCAGTGAGTCCGTGCAAGCCATTTTGGTACATATTTTCCCTCTAGGTCATCATCATCACCAGGTCATCAGTCCTAAGACTGGTTGGACATTACCTCCACTCTTTCCTATCCTGAGCTAAACTTCGCATTTCTCTAAAACTAGGACATCCCACATCCTTAACTATTTGCGAACAGTAATCTAATCTAGGTCTACCTCTACCCCTCCTAACTCCTGTTTCTGCCTCTAATATGTCTCTGACTAGACCTTCATGCCTGAGAAGATGTCCTACCAACCTATCTCGCCTATTTCTTATTCACATCCATGGAGTCCTCTGTTCTCCTATTCTTTCCAATACCTCTTCATTTCTAACCTTTTCTACCCACGATATCTCTCTTTTTTCTTTTCCCTCCCTCTAGGTATAACTGGAAAAATTAAATTGGACCTCTGTATCTCGAACGTAGCAATGTTTTATTTTACAACCTTTGCAACTCGATAATTTGAAACTTATTACGTCTATAGTTCGAAAAAAACTAAAGTTATCGACTTTAAGGATTTACCGACAATGTAAGCACATCAAATCTTTACCTTTACAAGTCGAATTAAAATCCTCCTAACTCAAAATCCTCCATAAGTCGAAAACTCTATAACTCGAATTTTTGGCGACACCCTTGATGTTCGAGTTATAGAGGTTCTAGTGTATTATCAGCTACACTTTATAAAGCAGATGGCCTTGTTGAGAACGACAACAGAGATAACGTCACGACGCAAACCGACGCCGAAAGCGGTCAGTTTACGAGTTGGAAATAAATTTTTACAGGCAGCGTCGTGAGAATTCATTACCTGTTGCAGTGATTTACGTTCCATAAATCAAGAAAGAATTGCCGAAGGAATTCCCAAAACGCACGCTTCACGGCTTCCGTTTTACGTCTACTTTATTTGTATACGTAACTCCGACCCATAAAAGACGATCTACGTACTAAACTTGTGTGGTTTTACAATTTATTTCGCCTCGTTTAAAGTGAAACGTCTTTTTCTTCTTCTTCATTCGACTAGACCACGAAAACTTTGTCTTTTTAATGTCTAATCTACAAACTTATAAAAAGCTCTTGAATACTACATTGGTCATTATTTTCTTCCAATAAAGAAACGTAGAGTTTTTAAACATAATTATCAATAATCAATTAATCACGTCCTGTTGGGGTTTTTAGTAAGCCAGTTCTAGAAATTTGGAAAGATACAGGGTTTGTCCGGAAAGTAATAGGACTGATTTCCTTCCGTCGCGACTGTACTTCAGAACGTGCGCGCACCAACTAGATTCGATTCGGGCATTCCTAGCTAACGAACGAGCGGCTGGTGAGTTGCCTCCGAGCACTTGGAGAGTCAGAACAGGCTTTTTCGCGCGACGTGTTTCTGTGAGTGGTGCAAGCCGAAAATGCATCGTTCGTCAGAGCGGACGTACGCGATTAAATTTGAACATGTGTGAAAGTGACCAGCAATTTTTGAATAACGTAATCGCAGGTGACGAGTCATGGATCTTTGAGTATGATCCCGAGATAAAGAGGCAATCTTCCGAGTGGCACACGCCGGCGTCTCCTCGCCCAAAAAAGGAAAGAATGAGCAAATCCAAACTGAAAACGATGCCCATTTTTTGACATGAAAGGCTTTGTCCATCATGAATTTGTTCCTCCTGGACAAACCGTCAACGCCAAGTTTTACGTGGAAGTGCTCTAGAGACTCAAACGAAGGGTCAATCGGGTCCGACAAGACATCGCAGCCGACTGGAAGTTGAACCACGACAACGCCCCGGCTCACACTACCTTTCTTGTGGACAGCTACCTAACCAAGGCCGGAATCCCAACGCTTCCGCAGCCGCCCTACACCCCAGATGTGGCCCCCTGGACTTTTTTGTTTGCTCGCCTGAAAAGGCCGATGAAAGACAAGCATTTTGAGACGACAGAGGGGATCCAAGCAGCATGCACCGCGGCTCTTAAGGCTGTTCCGGAGAATGCCTTCCGTGACGCCTTCAATGCTTGGAAATCGCGCTGGCAGCGCTGCATCGACGCAAAAGGAGCCTATTTTGAAATCTTTTAAGGAATTGTAACGATTGGCTCAATAAATTTTTTAAATCGACTCAGTCCTATTACATACCGAACAAACCATGTATATCTAGGCTAGGTAATCAGAATGACCAGTCGATACCTTGCTAAAGTGTCTACAAGGGCCTAAAGTAATAATTTTGGTGTTAAAGTCGAATAAAATGAAAAAAATATTAAGTTATAACTAGTAATATTGTTGCTACTGTTACCTCTCATAGCATTGTTGCGTAAAGCTACAGGTCCCGGGTTCCAATCCCGGCGAGGGTGTGACAGCAGCAACAAAAATTTTTCTCATTAATTTGAGGTAACTTATGGTGAAAAAAAATTGAGAATGAATTTTCAAATTAATAGATAATATTGACGTCTATGGATACTTCAGTGGTGCTAATTATAGTGCAGCTACGTTTGAGAGGGGCCTTACGAATGTATTTACTTGCAAAAAAAAACTTTTGCATGCTTTATTGATCAGTTACACAGCGGGTAGGTGTGCAGCCTCTCTGACTTTCGCATTAGTATAAAGCTGGAGGATAGGGCGGAAGGCATGATTCAAATAAACTACAGACAAGTAGTACCTTTTAGTAAAATTAAGTGAGTTGTAAATCGACAGTTGTTCTGCCTAATAAGACTCCAGTTACAACCACCAATAAAATAGTGGCGAACGCACGATTTACTAAATTGTAATGCACTAAAACTAAGAATTTATTTATTAAATGAACTTAATTATAAGTAATTTCCGATTGTAATGAATGTTTACCTCACAATCCTTGGAAAAAGTACCAATAAATATGCCCTTCAAATGGTTATGAAAAGCAATTTCTCGTTCTCGTATAATTTACTAATTAATTAAAAAGGCCAAAGAAAATGAACTTATTTACTAATTATAAATGAAGGTTTAAGCATTAAGAGTACCTTGCTTCAAATAGGGCACTAATGTGAAACATAAACGATAATAAATTACTGTTTTCAAAAGATTAACAGTAGCTAAGTAACAAATAATTGCAGAGTTAAAAGGGGCAATTACAAATAACCCCTTTAAATGGAACACTTTACATAAAAAATGCTAGAGATATACTTAAATGTACGTACAAACAACAACTAATTGCTAGTGGTTAATAATAATTATCATAATGAAGTCTTTAAAGTAATAAAACAAAATTACAGTTCAGTTAGCATATAAAAAACTGCTAATATCTATTATTGTAATACTGGTAGGTTTGTAGTATAATTTGGTGCTTCTATATCGTCCGATATGGCAATATTCTACAACTAAACAACGCGCATATTTTCGATATCAAGGACGTTGTCGTACAATAGGGATTTTTAAATACGTAAAAAATCAACGTGTTAAAATGTTAATGTTCGACCAAAATTTTTTGAATTTTTTTTCCTTGTTTTGTAAAAAACAAATCACACCTCGGTGTCTCATTTTCCTCAATATTTTGGTCTCAGTTAATATTGTCATCTCTTTCCCTAAGAATTACTAGGGAATTTATAAGAATAGTTGGTTGTAATTTTATATTATACTTTGCGATATAATATTATTATTAATAAAATAATAATTCGCAGCAAATCGTTACAATATTAGGTATGTCAGTGTCAATTTCTCTAATTTTGAAGATTCAAACCGTTTACACTGCTAACTGCTTTCCAAATTCGTTTCCGATTTCTGATTTCGTCCTCATGACTACACGTTTGTTACGTAACCTAGGATTAAATAATTTTGAATCATTCTGCAACGCCACAAGGAAATAAATGACGAC